GTGAGATGAATCGATAACTGATAATATTTTTTCCCCCAACTAAAATTTGGATAAAAAAGTTTCAAAGCAATGATTGTGGTAAAGTTGTTAAGAATTCAGTATTACATTAGACTTGACCCAATAAAACTTTTGAACCATTGGAATTGAGAGGCACTCGTTAGTGATATGCACATACTGAGCACAGATCTCACACATATATTCCATAAATGAAATATTTGACACCATATAAAAAGAATTTGAAAATATAAAAATTATTTTCAAAGAAAATAAAAAAAAATTCAATAATTTACAATGGAAGAACGTACCAAAGCTAGTGATGAAAATCACAAGACTTACCTGTGGTTGATCCGAATCACCTTCAAATTTGTATTGCTTGCTTCTTTGGCAACGATGTCAAAAATGTTTGTTCTCTAATGTGGTACATATGAAACTACTTCCCAAGTGTAGGAAAATTTATCGTATAGTAACTCAAAAAATATCTGTCATGCCCCGAATTTTCACAAACTCGGGGAGTGAGTGAAAATGAAAAAAAAAATAAATGAAAGGTCATTAGGTTGGATAAATTGGCTTCTCATTCATTTCCCATGTTTTTCCAAAGTTTTTCAAGCAACTTTTCTTCCGTTTTTAACCTATTTCTTCAAGGTTTTTAAACCCCCCCCCCCTTGAAATTCTTCCCACCTATTCAAAAGTTGTTTTACACACTTAACAAGTCTTTTAGTTTTTTATAAAATTTCAGCATAACCTCCTTTGTTTCCAAACCTTTTTTTTCACCTAATATTCACAATATTTCATATGCATAATTATATCACAATCCATCCTCACTCGGCGGTCACAATCCATGTAAGTTAAACATACATCTCTTATTCTCAACATATACATCTAATTGTCCTAATATACACATATGATACTCATTAAATAAAGACATCCCAAATATTAATTAAGTTTACATTCTTACACATTAAAATGGTTCACGACCTTTAATCTACTACTTTTTCAAACTAGAATACAAGTCATTTGGGCTTATGCCCATACATATAAAATATGCTCAATTGTCAAATATACATTCAAGTCTATTTCCTCTCCTTCCTCTAAGGCTTCCTCAAGTCTTAAGTACTGGGAGTCTCATCTGTAATATGATATCCCATGAATGGGTCAGCTCAACTGCTGGTATGACAAAGTGCTAACGTTAGGAACAAATTTAAGTCATGACATGTGCAAGTATACATTTTTAAAAGCTACAACCTCATAATCTCTCAATGCTATGCAATGTCAATATACATGACACACCCATGAAACTCTATGCCACCCATGTCTTGCTTCACAGTCCGCCCTCGTCAGCCTGCGAGCACTATCATTGGCCAGATTTTAGATTTTTCACCACAGGATCTACACCCTCATAATGCATAGCACCAAGTGCTCAACCCACACTATGTTAAAAGGATTCATGTATGCCAAAATGCCATGATTTTTCTCAATGTAAATTTTATGAAATATTTCATCAAACTCCTTATCTATATGAATGTAAAGCATCATTCAATGAATTAAACATATATGATCAAACTTCATATTCCTATGAAACATTTCATCAAACACTTTATCTACATAAATGTAAAGCACCATTTAATGGATTATACATATGATCAAGCTTCATATTTCTATGAAACATTTCATAAAATTCCTTATTTACATAAATGTGAAGCACCATTCAATGGATTTAAACATATAATCAAGCTTCATATTCATTATTTTCACAATTACTCAAAGAAACTATAAATACACAAACTATCAACTCATGTAATAAATCATAACTCTTAAACCACAAGAGTTTCTCTACATAAACATAATTTATAATATAATAATCCAACACATAAGTAATATACACCTTCACCATAGTAACAAATTGTCAAGAAACTCAAAGAACACAAAAGTGTTTAAACCACTAATTTTAAGTTTTCAAAGCAACTACCAACTAAATAATTTTCTAACATTAAGTAAACACCTAAATCACTCAATCAACACCTAGGAATGCAAGAAAACATAAATCTATTCCCAACTTAGCAAAATATTATACCTAAAATATTTTTTCTCAAACCAAGGGAGTTGTGTTCCCTTCAAAGCCGAACCAATAGGTGAGAATATAGCTCTTGTTGAGAGGAACAACTTCTTAGAAGGAAGTCTTGCAAGAATCTTAGCATAGGATTGAGTTTTGACGGCCTCCAAAAACGTGTACTGACCCTTCCCGGCCCAAAAACACTGATATTTTTACACTAAATGGTTGTATTTATAGTGGAGGGCAAAGGTGCAAAAAGACCCTTTTGCCCTTGATGAATCCGGGACTCCGTTACACTGCAACTCGTCCCGAAACGTCTTAATTTGACATTTTATTTTAACCAAAGTTCTTAAAATTATTTTAAATGAAAATTTTCAAAAATATATATTTTTCCTAGTGGCAGGGTTTGACCGGTCCCACCTAGGCCCCCCGAGATACCTTTTTTGTTTAATTTTTGAAACTATTTTCGTTTAGGCTCAAATTCGCACAATATGTATATTTTAACATTGTAAACATGTTATGCTCCAAAACATGACTTATACCTAAATGATACATGAATAGTATCCTACCGGCAAAACTGAAAAATTTATCCTTACTTTTCAAATCTCTACAATATCAATGTCGTCTCCATAGGGAAATAAGGATAAATTTGAATGGTGATATGATCGAACAAAAATAAAATCTTTTGGTTTTCAAAGATGATGATAATTAATAAATTCTAAAAATAAAAATATTAAGAAAAACTTGATAACCATCAGATTTCATCCCACCATGAATAGAAATTCTCTCCGAATTTATAACTCATCTAAGATTGTAATCAAACTCACTTAGATGGAGAATATTCAAATAAAATTCAGAATTTAGAAAATATGTACTTTGACAAAAAAAAAATTTAATTTATGAAAGAAATGGTATCATATTAATTGCAGGGACTCTAAAAATTACTTGTAGCAAATTCAATTGTCTACAATTAAGCAAAGATGTTTACAAATCATCCATGTGTTCAAAATCAATTCTTTCAATCAACAAAATAACACTAAACATTAATACCTCGTTAGGGTCAAAATCACTCATTCACGCTTGAGAATCCCTCCTCTGATTATGCAAAAATTAAACTATTACTCTTTCTCTTTCTTCAAGAAGCTCTGCCCAGGGTTATCATCCAAATACATGGGATTCGGATCATAGAAATAAAGTAGAAGACTCTAGTAGCTGCCCTATGGATGAGGAAAGAGATTGGGAGGTGATTTTCCGTATCCGAAAATTGACATCCTTCCATTGTGGTGGAGCATGAGGATGGTGTACTTTATCTGAGACTTCAACTATTCATTAATCCACTCAAAAAACCAACACACTGAATGTAAAATGCAAACCATTTGGCATCATCAAATCAAACCTAAAGGACATTCAACTGAAAATAAGGGATATACCCAAATTGAGCTTAAAAAAAGATAATGTTCTAGGGGAATGAAAACACAAAGAATAAAAAAACGGCAGTATAAATCCCATAAAAAAGAAGAAGAAGAAGAAGAAGAAGAAAGAAACTCGCAACAAAGAAAAAATACACAACATTGTGTTCCAAGTTATTTGAGAAATTTATTCAAACACATGACGTACATAGAATAAGAGTATAGGGCGTTGAAGAGGAACCAATTGACGAAATTGGAAAAAATGTGTTGGTTCTGTGGTGGGCTGGTGGCATGGGCTGGTGTTCGCTAGTGCGCAACACAGAGAGGAAAGGAGAGGCAAGGAGAGTTGGGGAGACAAAGAATAGAGAGAGAGTGACAGAAAGAGTGGAAAGGGGAGGATAAGAGAGGGGAAGAGGGAGGGAGGGAGAGAGAATTAGATACTGGGCAACAATGGATGAATTGTGGTATAGATGCCGCTAGGGCACAAAGTGGAAAGGTGGCGGTGGCTGGCCAGCAACGAGAGATTAGGGCTTAAAGATAAAACAAGGGAGATTTGGTTTTGAGAAAGATGTTGGTAACTATTGGATGAGTTTATTTGAGACCGTCGGATGAACTTATTGAAACTTATCTTATTTTATATTATAAATTATAGATTTCAACTGGTCATCCTTCCGCGTTTCATCGTACCAAATAAAACATTAATATAGTTTAACATTGTCAATCAATGCATGTACACCAGTGCAATGTCAAAAATAGGTATAATGTTACTATCCAGTTTATCTAATTTATGTTTCTAAGCAATTATGTTAGGTGGAGATCACATGACAACTTTTCATGAACTGCACTTGCATAATTGATCTTCCATGAATTCAGATTCCATTACTCCCTTAAGAATGATGCACAACACAAATCAAAGCTAAACAAAACTTATAAAGAAAAACAAACAAACAAATGTCCCTTAAGAATGATGCACATCACATATCAAGGCTCTCAATCTCCATTGGAGTAGCATTAGCTAGCAAATTGGGCCTTAATCACAGGCAGTCTCCATTCGTTACATCGTGATTTTCATTTTCTCAATCTTATTCCCCATTGTAATAGTCATTAATGGGGTTTTTTGTTCCATATCAAATCAGAAATTGAACAATATAATAATCAAAATAAATATTAAAATCCACAACCCAAATACCATTCCAATATTCCAAATTTAATACATAAGAAAAAAATGAAAAAAAATACGAAATCATTAGAGAGAATGAGATCCAAAACAATATGCATATAAGCGATGAAGCTCGGTGTAGTAAAAACAAAAAATTGAAGAACGAATAGGAACAAAACTCTCTAAGAACTTTCATCGAACATGTGGTGAGTATGTTTGGTGGAGGAAAAGGACTCTGTTGGTCGTGGTGTTGGTGGCTTTGGTTTGGGTAAGTGGTAGCGGGCAAGAGATGGGTAGGAATTGAGCGATAGTTGAGGGAGGCATTGGGTCTTGGTGGGAGAGGAGGTTTTTGGGTTTTGACTTTTAACAACTAATTAGTAAAATGGAAGAGGCGGTGTCGCTGTGCGTGGCTCCACTGTTGCATGTCTATGTACGTGTGCTTGAGTAAAAAAAAGTGGAGAGATAGAGAGATGGAAGACATACTTGAGATGTGTAAGCAGTAGCGGGATGCAGACGGAGAGAATAGGGAGGGCGAGAGAGGGAGAGATAAGATAGAGAGAGTGTGAACCTGATAGTGTTTGTGTGTGTGTGCAGAGATGAAGACAGAGAAGGAGAGACACACCCTTATTAACTACAACTTAACATCAATTCACTCCAATCAACAGCCCTAATTTTAAAATTATTTGTGTGCGTGAAAGTGTGTGTGTGTGTGAAAGCAGAGGAGAAAGAAAGAGAGAAGCAGAGGGTCAGGGCGGAGAGAAGCAGCGAAGAGGGATACTTGGGAGGGGTGTGGTTATGGCTGTGGCAGTGGTGGTGGTGGTGGTGGTGGTGGTGGTGGTGGTAACTGTGTCTGTGTCGCTGGCGATGGTGGTGGGGCTGGAGATGGCGTAACAAATAGAGAGAGAGTAAAAAGCAAAGGAATTGAAATGAATTCTTGAAAGATAGTTTCTTCACCAAAAGAACTTGACCGTACAATAAACTTGAGACCGAACTATATATTCGTTGAAATCGCTCGGTATTATATTTTAAAAGGTATTTAGACATACCTAAATTATCCGTTCCCCTACATTCGTTTGAGAAATAAGGCAGATTATGCTAACTAATAGTCAATATATTTTCCAACTAGTCATTTTAGAAACAGCTATAATTTGGAGACATAATATATTTTGACCAATAAAATAATAATAAAATATATTTATCGTTATAATAAATCCCGTCATTAAATGCATTACATATTATTTCATTGATGACAATACATTCAGCTATAATTTGGAGACATAATATATTTTGACCAATAAAATAATAATAAAATATATTTATCGTTATAATAAATCCCGTCATTAAATGCATTACATATTATTTTATTGATGACAATACATTATATCCCTCAATTATGTCTTAATTCCATTAGTGTACTAGAAATCCAAGAACATATCTCGAATATCTATATAGAGAGAATAATCTCAGATTAGTGCATGTGATGACCGATGGTAACATAGCTGTGCATGTGATGGCTGATGCTAACATGGCCAACAAAATAAAAGAATCAATTGAATAAGAGAGAATTACACATTTGTGAGGTTTGCCACTCACTCTTGATATTTAAAATATTACACACAGATTTCTTGAAGTTTATATTCGTATAACACATAGGTCATCGCTATAAATAGGTCATCGCTATAAATATATCTGTTAATACATTACATTCAGACTTCCTTAAAGTTTATAAATAAATATTATTTAGACTCCTTAAATTTAAAATATTATACTTAGACCTAAAATATTTCAATCAAAAATAAAATATCAAAAATTTTAAATTTTACAATTAAATTCGTGTTATATTGAATCATTTATTGAAATAAAATCAAAAATAAAAATTCAATTTTTTCTTAAAAAATCATAATTAGTATACAATTATATTGTCTATTTAGAATTTAATATGGTGGTTTAAACGACCAAATTAAAACACCAAACTAACCCAATTGAAGCTAAAAGATATTGTATCCATTACAATTTGACCCCTTGTTTAATTTTGTAATTTTATTCTAATAGATAGTATAATTGTATATTAACTATGATTTTTTTATAAAAAAATAAATTTTTATTATAATTTTATTTAAATAAATGACATAATATAACATAAATTTTAATTGTAAAATTCATGTTCTATTATGAATGACTTAGATCCCTTGTTTGATTTTTTAGTTTTATTCCAATAGATAATATAATTATATACTAATTACGATGTTTTAAGAAAAATTTGAATTTGAATTTTTTATTTTATTTTAATAAATGATACAATAGAACATGAATTTTGATTGTAAAATTTAAAATATTTAATATTTTATATTTAATTGAAATATTTTTTGTTTAAGTATAATATTTTAAATTTAAAAAGTCTAAGTATTGTATACGCACAAATTTTAAGAAAATATAAGTGTAATTTATTAACAGATATATTTACAGCAGAGATCTAAGTGTTATACGAGTATAAATCTTAGAATGTCAGTGTATAATATTTTAAATATCAAAAAATTTAAATAATTAAATGACAAACGCCAAAGAGCTACGTTAAAATTCTCCCATTGAATAATGGTAACATTCATATAATCTTCTCTTTCGGGGGGCGGACCAACTTTCAAAGGTCTCCCGCAACGTGGACCTTGATAGCGACCAATTCAGATATATAACACCCACGTGTTTCATGACGCCACCAATGACGAAATGGCAAGTTATGCCCGTCAAATGCTTCACCTGGATGCATAAACACACAAATCTAATATTATCTAGAATGGATTAGATTTACAACCTTTTCCCCAAAAAAAAAAAAAAAACGTACTAGGAATTTATTTTGTAATATCATATTAAAAGTTACTCCTAAATAAAAATGACATTATGATTTAATGCAATAAGCTTATGACAAAATTAGTTTGTTTAAGAATATTATTAACATTTAGGTTCAATCCCGATTTTTTTTTAAGTTACAACATAATCTCATTGAGTAATAACTGATCTTTTTGAAATATGAATATGGCATAAATAACTTATTTTTTATTATAAATTCTAATATTATACTAAAGTTGGTAGCATAATCTTGACCATACCCAAATATGATTTAATACTTCTACGAGTGGTATATCATATTAGATGGACTTCGGATAAAAAGTCTTCAGCACGTTTTACTTGACAATAGGTAAAGGCTAACTTTTTCCCAAGTTGATAATTAGTAATTATCCTCCTTTGACCTTTGAAAATTTTGACTTCCTTCCTCTTGGTCAGCCCTCCCTCCCATTCACTGCATAACTACCACAAAGGCTTTTGTTTTGACTTTCTCATTTCTCAACCTATATAACCACTTCTTTGCATTTCCCTCCCTTCATTAGTCACTTGCTATTTGACATTATAAGAAGCTTACGCAAATTCGAAAAATGAGTAGCTCTGATGAAATCGATAAGAATACAAGCACAGACCAGAAGAAATACAAAGGAGTACGTTGCAGAAAATGGGGGAAGTGGGTGTCAGAAATCCGAGTTCCTGGAACCAAAGAACGTCTTTGGTTGGGCTCCTACTCTACACCTGAGGCCGCAGCTGTGGCGCATGATATAGCATACTATTGTCTACGAGGACCGTCATTGCTACATAATCTTAACTTTCCTTCTATATTACCTGCCACTGCTCAAACTGGCTTATCGCCAAGGTCGATACAAAAGGCCGCCTCGGATGCTGGAATGGCCATCGATGCCCAATTCACCATTAGATGTCCATCAAAAGACAAGGTAAAGGTGAATGAAGTTTGGTCAAATGGGGAGGATAGCTCTGGATCATGGGAGGCAAGTGTGATGAGAGAAGGGGAGGCTTTAAACATTTCCGTTGAAGATTATATTTAAGTTGTTGTGAGATTTTCCTTTTTGTGCCTGAATCAACTCCAGAAACATTTCAAAGTGTACACTCAATCATTACAAATGAAGTGCATTGCCCAAATCTAGTGATATTTGAGACTAAGTTTTATCGTCTTAGAGAACTGGCATGCTGATGCTTGTTCAGCAGCTATAAGTATTATATAAGCAAAATGTTTTAGAATATAATATATCGACTGGCAGTTTTATTGGCTAAAATATGCCAGAGGCTACTATTCTTGACACTGGAGATTTAGCAAATGAAATAGGCCATTTTATCTTGCTCGGGTACCTCAACTTTCTCGTCACATTCTAAGCCTGGAGAATTCCACTCTAAATTTATAACCAACCTTTCTTTCAATAATCTTAAAATAAACTGGGATTCTTTCCATTACAATTTTCGTATAGAGCAATCAATAATTCTAACAAAGTGGGAGATTTTCATGAGACCCGACCACGAAAAAAGAAGTTATTCTATTTTTTACAACAATTGACTCATACTACCCAACACTTCAGTGGAAACATTTTTGATTGACCAAGGGAATTGTCTTCTGCTAGATAGTGAAGACGTTATTGACTGCAAACCAAAATTGAATTCCATATCAAAGTTCTTATAAGACTAGTTTACTCCCAGCTTTTTCTTACTGAGTCATGTAGATTATTAGATTAATATATCCCCAAGAATATCTAATGGTTGTAGTTGTGCCACTCAGCTGCACTCGACTCGGTTCGTAAGAAACAATTGGGAAGAAAAGTTAATCAAAAACATTATTCTCCCCTCAATCCAACTATGGAAGTGCAGGCCTTGCTTTTTATTGGTGCCAATAAATATCATGCATAAAACAAGATACGACTAGAGCCTATTCAATTTAAAAATTTTATGAAGAGATAATTTAAATACTAATATGTTTATTTAGAGAAATTCGTGACATGTACATTAATAGAAAATTACAAAGTTAGTAACCCAATGAGTCCTTGGAGCAGGAGCGTTGAATCTTATTACCAAAAGCAATTACAATTTCATTTCATGAGATCTTCAACACGTTTTGGTGGACATTGGACAAAATCTACCTTTTGCAATTTATTGATGAGCCCCATCTTACCAAGTGCCGACCACGTTTTCCACCAACTTCACTACGAGTGGTAGAGAACCTTCAAACCTATTCGGAGTAAGAAACACATCTACCCATTTTGCGATACCTGGTCAATGGTCACCCATGTTCATGAAACCATCCATACAAGAGATAATATTTCAAACCAATTAACCAAATCATAGGTAATCCAAGAACCGTAATTCCATATGTGTTTTTTCCAATGACACCATTCAAGAAAACAAGCAAGAGATCGTCAAGAAACGTAGTTTATTGTTCAAAACCAAACACTAGAATTTTAAATCAAGAATAATGAAATATGAAGTGGAAATCATATATTTCTTGAAAACTAGGGTTTTGATAGGAAGAACTAGAGTTTTACGGCTATCAAACAATAATCTCATTCAAAACATGATACGATTTGGAATCAAATACATACATACATACATACATACATATATATACTAGCCCCAATGAATGAGTTTAGGAAAAAACCCCTACCTGAGTTCAATGTTTGAAGATAACCCTAGCGTGTTTGAATCAATCATAATACAAAAATCCTCTCTCTTCTACTCCCTCTCAAGCTTTCTAGGATTAAAAATAAGTAAAAACAATTAAAATCGCAGTTCGAGGGTATTTATAGAATAAAAAATGGAGAAAACTCTAAAAATTGATCAGAACCATTTTGAGCTAGGCGTCCGGATGTTTCTGGGGGCGTTTGGACACTGGAAACTTTCTGTCCAAACTTTCGAATCTATTTTCATCTTACTAGAAGTTGATTAAGGAATTTTTTGTGAAATACACTTTGTAGCCCCTGAAATCTACTTTCTACTGTCTAAATTTCAGATCAATTAGAAATTGGGATAAAAAGTTATAGGCAAAAGATACTAAGGTAGTGTCTAATTTCTTCCTACCTGAATTCTCTCCAAAATGTGTTTTAACTCTAATATATTTTCAAACTTCTAATACACCTCATGTTACCTCTCTCAAGGTTTCTTGGCCATTCAGATTTAATGGTGACCTTATTTTGACCTAAAAATATTTAGAAACTTACCTAGTTACCATTGTTAAGCTTAAACGCCTCCAAACTAAGCTTGAATTGAAAGTCAATTTGCTTAAAACTTGAACTTCATGATCAATCTTTCAACAACGATTTGAGATTTCTATCATTCTTTTATTCATCCTAGGAGAAATATTGAGATGACATTATTCTTATTTAATTCTAGTACGGAGTCTTACAATCAACTCCCCTAAAAGAAAGGTTCGTCCTCAAATCATAATCGTCGGCGTAGTTTATTTAATCCCACTAGACTACAGGGTCTCAACACATATTAATCATGTAAACCACAAATCTAAGATCAAATATATTTTTGACATTCAAGATTTTTAGATCTGTCCCTCCAACTTGAACTCAAATAGATCTTATATGTGAGTCATTACCATTTCATTCAAGTTATTGACATTCGCTTATTCTCAATAATTTTATGCAATTGCCCGAACAACTTTCTAATGTTGTATATCTATTAGATCATCAACTTAATTGTCTATCCACCAAAAAACACATTTCTTTTGAATTCATCAATCATTTCCCTTAACAAGGGAAACTCCCAATCATTGCCAACTGTAATAGCTTGACTCCTAACTACAGATTCCCTGTAAATCAATATTCTAGGATCCACATTTAACCACTTACTAGAAAATGGTTCATCTTTCCCCTGTTGCATCTTTCCATTGTGTTTATTCAGGGTACCATGTCATTCTTGTACTAGTCTATGCTATAGACAATCCTACGTTTTAGTGGTTTGGTAGACACCACAAAAATTCCCAACACATAGTTATCAAGATATTGATTTTTACTATTCAAGATTATACTATTTAGATTAACCATTGTAAATATAACTAACAGTCAATCCCAATAATATCAAATATAATCAAATGGTTTGCCGCACACTTTGATATAAATTATAATTCACCGATCCACAAATAAAAACTAGCCACCATATAAAAATTCTGATTGTTTCGAAGGGTTTATGAAAATATTTTAGATTCCACCAAAATATACTATTGAAACCTACCCATACATGTCCTCTAATTATATCTTTCAAAATGTATATACTAACGATCCACCTATTCCATCCAAGGGGAATTCCTAACAATTAAGCCAATATAATACTTGAGTCAAGGGTCAAGTTATATATCCAAGATATTTTTTTTCAATCTCTAATCTTGAGCTTATATCAATAAGTCTTACAATCTCTTTCATAAATCACACTCATTCGAATTCCTATTTTTAGATCAATCTTAGTATCTCCACGTTATTCACCAATTTGATTAAGACTAATTATTTTTTATCTTCCAAATATTAATTCTCAATCTCTAACCGTGAACTAGAATCAATAACCATGCAATTAATTTTTAGTGGCTTTCATTACCATCACAATTCTTTTCACGATACATATGCTTTCAAATCCCTATGATACAATCCAGTGCAATATATTCCTTCTAATATACCAGAAGGTGAAGATAGACTATCAAGGATCCCAAACTATCTCTTAGTTTTCTATTTCAAGTTTTTTTTTTGTAATATAATCATAACCAAAAACAAGAGTCTCGATGATTAAGCCAATGTTCCTCAAGTTGATAACGATCTACTAGTTAGTGGGATAACCTTAGTATTTTACCCCAAAAATCACTTAAAGTTTCTCAATTCATGTGATACCAATGATGCTCAACTCTAGCCTTAATTTTCAATTAAGATTTGTGAGTGTAAGTCAACTATCAATTCTCCACACTCAAGCAGGAGACTCCCAATTGTTAATAACTTAGAGTATCTAAGTGTAATGAACTAAGCCCACAATGAAAGAAGATTACCTAAGCATAACGTCCTTAATGAGTATCCCACGTATGATCATTCTAATCCATTAATACTTCTAAAAATAAATTTAATCAACTCTTCATAATATTTTCAAACCAGTATTGGTAACCTTAAGTTCGTGGTTATGAAACAACCTCCTATCCATTTAAGAACCACAACCATAATTTCTATCATTATTCCAAATTAGGGTCCCATTCGAGATTACTTCACCATATCCCTTCAATTGATCATAGCCAATAATTCATATAAAAATAACACAATATCCGAGGCTAATCAAACGCCAAAGAGGTGATCAAGATAAACATAAATACCACTACTATATGTCGCCTTTGTTAGAACTAATATGAGACCTCATTATGTCAATAAAAGAGTACATCCAAGATTGTATGAAGCCTGCATAAAGTCGGATATGATTTTTCAAATAGGCGCTATGAGAGTGATTGGGTTGGAAAACTCAGGTTAGATGTTTCTTTAACAACTAGACTAAGATTTGTATGCCATTCTTTTATTCTTTCAAATGTGACACTGATCATTTTATACGACAACGCCATAGCATATGTTTTATGCCATATGTGCTTAAATTTGATCGATAATGGGAGTATCAGATGAATCCCTCCTTAAACACCAACTATGTCATGAAGAGGATGCTCAATGTTTGCTACTTTAGCATGTACCCTAGGATCATGATTGATGCAATCTCATAGGGCATGACTAGGAAAGTAGTTGAGTCTAGTTGGATTGACATGAAGGTCGGGGAAGATTATTTGATGATACGCTATGTTTTGTGACTCATTGCCCGGGTGAATTTGTTGTATTTGTTTTTCGATAAAGTCATGAGTACATTACATATTTAGGGTTTAGCACTGCTTGTTTTGAGAGATTAAGAGTGCTATATTAGGTGCAATCAAATTGTTTGGGGTACTATGAGATGCTTCTAAATGACATACTCTTTTGGTGTTAACTTAATAGAGTACTCCTACTGTTACACATGCCTCTTGTTGGGTCGCACATTCCATTTCCAATAT